TATATTTTCTGGAATTTTGTTGCAAAAGCGTATAATACATCGCCCCAAGAATGAATTACTGACTCGCTGGAGTCGAGTAACTGGTACTACTAGCTTGTGTCTGTTGCTAATATTTACAAAATGAATATCACTTATTTTTGCAAAACTACGTTTATTATTGTCTACGTACATTACATTTTCATAAATGTATTGAGAGGCCAGAGTTAATATATTAATTTCCTTACATTTTTGTCTCAGTGACTCTTTTGGTTTTAAACTATATATTACTCTGATGGCCCTCTTGTGTAAAATAAATATAATTTCAGTGTCAGTTGCGTGTCCCCATAGCAAAATACCATACGACATAATGCTATGGAAATAACTAAAGTAAACTTTTCTAGCTGTTTCAACACTAGTAAGAGTTCTAATCTTTTTTACAGCATATACTGCAGAACTAAGTCTGCTGCGATATTTGTGATTCCAAGAAAAATTGTGGTATCAACAAGACTCAGTTCTTCCCCATTTAAAATTACATTCGTATTAACATGAATTAGCATTACAATAGTAGAGTTGTGGTTTGAAGTCCTATATATTAGACATATAATAGTAAGGTCTATGATACAAAAGCATTGCTATAATAGGTCTCCTTGATGCATAAGCATTATATGGGGGTGGTCGGGTGACCGACTGCTCTTAGTACTGTATCAAAATGACTAGTCCTTTATTAGGGACTTGAAAAGAATTATTATGGTGGCGTGTATGCTGCTTCACGAGCAATTGGTCCGGGTAAACTTGGACTCGCTAACCGATGTGTCCTAGACATATCATCTTAGTGCCGGTAGTAAGTGGGTCTGTTGTAGCAATTAGGCTTTGCCGTGGACACCGCACACCCATACCGTTTGTGGGCGGCATCGTAGCGCATAGCGATGCGCCGTCTATCTTTCGGATTGGGATGAGTGTGTTTAGTAGCACTTTTAAGTGTAATAGGCATACTCAACTTCATGTCTTAGTGCATTAGCGCTATGATACGTGGAGTTTTGTTCACTAGCGTCTTAGTAGTGTGCTACTATGATACGTTGGTGTTATTTTTTAGTTAACAATAATACAAATTTTCTTACCAAAGTCGATAGGGATCATGTGGATGTTTTGTGAGGGACCAACCGTACGATAGTAGCATTGATGCTTACTGCTACATGCGGTATTGTGTCTTGTGACGGATCTGCGGGTGTGCTGCACCTGATTCGACGCACTCTTGTGGTTCTGGTCGATGGAGGTACGCGGGTGGTGACGTCTGCTGGGATGTATCCACCTTACCCCACCTTGGGATGATGTCAGCCGACGGTAGTCGTATTGATGCTTGTTGCGTTCTGCAGCATTGCGCCTCTGCGATGGTTGTTTGGTGGGACGCTATTCCCAATGGCGCTCTCTGCGTCTTGATTTGACTCACACCTAAGTAGCTTTACCCAAGTCGGGTCCCTTCATTACGGGGCTGCAGATTTTCTGATGGCAAATTATTACTAACATCTTATAACTGCCTTTTGGCTATATCTACCGTTGTATTGGTTGGTGGAGCATATGTGTACGACCGCATGCGGGTGGTAGCTGGAGGGAGGATCTGAGGAGACTCTCAAGGCTGCGGCCGAAACCCGTACAACGCAGGACCCCATTCCCTTGAGGTGAGCGGTAGGCTCATGACACGCTCTGCGGCTAGTAGCCGGTTTGATCATGCAATCGGTGGTGATGCCATACACTTCACATCACGTCTACAGGAGCGGCGGTCTGGCAGGTGGTGGCGCTCACGGAGGGTTTACGGCCAGTGTGCCTATTTGTCTAAACCGTATGACGTACATTCACTGTAGCTGGATTCATTCGTATTCTGTATAGCGTTTACACGCATTCACATGCGCGACTTCGGTCGATGTTTGTGCTTACGCACTAATAAGAGGCCAAGCCTCTATTACTGGTTCGTCAGTTATTTTGCTGTGGACTACGGTCTAGTTCCCGAATTAGCGTTCCCTTCGAGGGGAGTGAATCAAAATGGTTAGCGCTCTGTCTTCGTGAACGGGGTTCACTTAGCGTATATATAATTTTATTGAAAAAAGGAAATTAATTATAAATAAATAATATAATATATTTACTAAGCGAAGAGGGGGGGGGGGTGGCGTTACAATATCAATGATATGTTGCAAACCGATAACATTCATTGCTATGCAAACGACAGCACTGGTGATGCTTAACACATAGACCGTGCCAATATTTCACGGGAAATCGTCGTTGAGTACCGGGACAACACTTGTGTATGAAGTCGAGACTTTGTTCAACAAAGTCTCGACTGGGGGCGACTAAATCTAGTTAAGTTTTATCCCCAGAAGACACAAGTTTGCGCGTTTACCGTTAAAATAAACGACAAAAAAATGTCTAAGAGCTATTTCAGGAGCAGGACCAAGTGATTCTTGCCGACCATTATTTAAAGTATTTAAATTATTGACGTTAACAGGCCTCTACATCTTAGAAGTAGGACTTTTCCAATTCAATCCCCAGAAGACACAAGTTTGAGCGTTAATCGCTATAATCCCTTGCTCGTATCTCCTCAGTTTCAAGGCATTCCTCCTGTTGCTTTAGTCAGTAACGGAATCCTCGGCTACAACATACCGAGTGACGTGCAGTTTCATGGTCACTTCGAAGAGGAGGCCAAATTGGCCTCTAACAAGCTTGGCGTGCTCAGCAGAGCGGGACAGTATTTCATGCCGGCACACCGCTGCAACTTTACAAGGCGCAGGTTCGGCCGAACATGGAATACTGTCCCCATCTCTGGGCCGGGGCTCCCCAGTGCAAGCTCCTTCCATTTGATCGCATCCAGCGCAGAACTGTTCGAATCGTCGGCGGCCAAGCTCTTTCCGATCGGCTGGACTCACTGGCACTGCAAAGAGATATTGCATCTCTTTGCGTATTTTAACGCATCTACCACGGGGCGTGCTCTGAGGAATTGTTCGGACTAATTCCCGGCGCACAATTTCACCAACGCACATCGCGACAAAACTCGCTATAACACCCATACCATCTGGATGACCGGCGGTCCACCACTGTGCGATTTAAAAGAAGATTTCTTCCTCACACAACTTTCTTGTGAAATGGACTACTACCAGAAGTTTTTCCGTACCGATACGACTTAGGGACCTTCAAGAAAATAGCCTACTTCTTTTAAAAATTCCCCTGGTGTTGCAGTTGTTCATGGGCGGCGGTAATCACTTATCAACAGGTGAGCCGTGTTCTCGTTTATCCTCATATCTATCTCCTAAAATTCTCCTAAAAAAACAAAAAAAGGAAACGACTGTATATATTCTTACTTCCCTACTTTTAGGGTAGGCACTGGCGAAATAAAACAGCAATTGTTCGAAAATGCCCCTTGGAATTGTGATACCAAAATTTCACTATTTTCATTACTTTCACTTTACTTTTCCTATTTTCATTTTGAACGAATCATTTTGAACGAATTGAAAACTGGGCGACCTACCTAAGGTCCCCAGATCTGACCCGTAAGGAGGTGCGCGCGCGAAACCGATTGACTCGATAATTTTCACTATCATATTTTCATATATTGTCCCATTACCTTATTTTACATGACAATATTACAAAACAGGTGTATTGTATATAAAGTACAAGTTGAACACATTATAAAAAACAATAAAACATTCACATTACATAAAGCTTTAACAAAATTTTCAACGTAATATCACAATTTAACGAGAAATTTCTTACAGTCATAAACTTTAAAATGACGAATATAATCTTTACAATACAATTTTCATTGTGTGTGTGATTTCACATATCTTGTAGGTACAATACGACAGTTTAATACAAGAATTAAAAATTTTAAGCATAATTATATTTTAATCCTATTGTTTACTTTTCTCCAAAGAGATTTAAATATTACTTAAATGTCTCTGTTTTTCACATTATTTCGCTATTTTATTACTATAGAATTTTATTGACATTTCTATTATCTTATTCTTATACAAAACATTAATAAATCACTATTACATGCATTTCAAAACTAATAAAAATATTATTTTAATTAATATTCTTAAGAAACGGTTCGGATTTGCGTTTTTCTTTTATGTTGATAATTCCTTAGAGCCTTAGACCATTCAACCCAATAATGCCTATACTAGTTGACAAACTCAATTTTACATGGCCCTTGGGATCTTATAGGAGGCTCTTGCCATCCATCTCTGATATTTATACTTGTCCCAAAGATGTTTTATAGGTACCTATAAAACATCTTTGACTTGTCCTTTTCTTTGAGATATACCTACACCACTCTAGCTTTGTCCTTACCTAACGTATTGTTGATATGTCTTATCAGTAATTAAACATTTATCAAAAGTGATTAAAGCGAATAAAAATGTTCTTAATACTTTATTTAATTCGTATTACATAGCCTGCATGACTCTAAGTTACTCAAATATCCTTACTTTACGCAGAAATTAGCATTCATATAAAATTATTAATTTTAATGTTTGTCCTTAAGAAACAATGAAAGATTTAATGAGGTTTATCTCGGGTCTCAAACATACGTACACATGGCGCGTATTAAATGTACTATTTTAGATAATACTACGATAGCAAGATTCGATTTTAGACTTTTTGTATCGCTTACTTCTGCTGCTCAAATTTATTTTGATTTTGCATTTCAGAGATGAGACAATACAATCACTCTACAATGTCTAGGTAGGAACACTACGCATGTCACTGGGATAAGTACGCAAGGGACCAATATATTGATACACATCGATATACACCGATATACCCACAATTATATTAGATAAAGTTTTGTTTTTGTATAACCCACTCCTAACGTATCAGATAAGTGCAATGCACAGTATAATAAAGTATGGATTTATATATTGTGGTATCAGGCGCGCTCACAGCCCAATCACCAATCAGTCGCTAGCGGAGTGAGCGGGTGACTAGTCATTGTATCGCAACTATTTAAAATCACGAACATAAAATATATTACCATGAAATACAACGAACTTGGTGACACCGGCCTCAAGGTCTCTCATGTGAGCCTAGGGGGAGCCGCTTTTAGTAATATTTATGGGTAAGTTCAAGATATTTTCGTGTCAATCTAATATAGTTTATGGAAAAACGGTAACATTTGCATTCGTTATATGTACTATCCGATGACTACTAAAAATATTAACGAAACGCTGCGCATGGTCTAAATATTTATATTGCTGCTGCTGGGAACGCAAACTTGTATAGCTGGCGCACTTATGGAATAAAAAATCTGTTTTATTTTATTTTTCCTTCCATAAGTGCGCCGCCGACCATTTTCGTTAAGGGGAAATATAACCTCAAATGGCTTAGCAAGATCCTCCGTTATGCCGAAAGTATTGCAGCATTAATTTTGAAATAAATATATGGTAAAGTTGAGGATTAATGTTAAGGTTTATGTTAGACGAAAACACGATTCCGTAAAATTTTCTCGATAGAAAAAAAATCCAAAGTTACCTCCAAACTGAACAATAAACCGCTGTTATTCATAAAATACTTTAAATAAGATCATGAATTCATGAATTCCTGCGGAGCAGGAACCAAGCTTACGCGCCGATAGTTTAGGTAATTTCTTTTTACAGTGAAAATAATGATATTTTAAAAAAAGTAAATAACATAAGCACTGCTTTATGGTTAGTTCAGTTAGTATGCAAAGTTTCATGATCTTATTTAAAGTATTTTATGAATAACAGCGGTTTATTGTTCAGTTTAGAGGTAACTTTGAATTTTTTTTCTATCGAGAAAATTTTACGGAATCGTGTTTTCGTCTAACATAAACCTTAACATTAATCCTCAACTTTACCATATATTTATTTCAAAATTAATGCTGCAATACTTTCGGCATAACGGAGGATCTTGCTAAGCCATTTGAGGTTATATTTCCCCTTAACACTCAGTAGGTATTCGACTTTCTGAAACAATGTTAAAACAATATCAATGACCTATATTAATAGTACACGGGACAGGGAATGGGTTAATATTCTATTATTTCGGAGTTTTGAGCCGCATGCTCGTTTGCCTCCTCTTCTATATATAAAAGTTTATTGACCTACCTGCTTTAATTTATTACATTATTTTTCTACCGACTTCAAAAAAGGAGGGTTTTCTAAATTCAGCTGTTTTTTTTAATGCGTTTTCCTCAGAACTTTTTTCTAGGTGAACCGAATTTGATAATTCCTTTTTATTTGTAAGCTGGTGCTTCTTATGTGGTCCCATATAAATTTGATCAAGATCTGACCCGAAGTTTTTGAGTTATCCTTAATAATGTGTATTTAATTGACATAAAATTCCATGTTTGCAAAAATAAGTGTTCCTTTATATTAATTTTAGAACTGTAATCGGTTAGACATGCCAACATATAAAATAATTTTAAAATTAATATTATATCTTAATTAACTTTATAGGATGTGAAAATCAAGTGTACAGGTTATTAGTAAAATGATAAAAATAGCTAATCAAAGAACAAACATTATCATAATTCTAGAGTTAGACCACAGATTAATAAATAGGGTAGACAATTAGTTTTACTATACAAACTAGCGATACGCCCCGACTGGGTAGGATCCATTTATGTAGCGTTACTTAAAATATTTTTTATAGAATAAGGATGACAAACGAGCACACAGTCCTCCTGATAGTGAATGTATACGGTGGCTCATCTACATCTACATTTAACCTCGATAAAGAATCAAAATGCAGATGCGTTGTCACCCCTGTGGATTAAGATGGAATTCCAATAAAACGGATCTCCGGTTCTCTACACTCACCATACGAAATACAGCAGTATTAAGCTGCTATTTTACGCTGGTATTCTGTGAGAGCGTGGTCCTTCCTCGGTCAAGCCGACCCTTTCCTGCTACAACCAGAAACGGTTCAGCTATTCTGAAGATTACCCCCGACACAGGCATACAAACAGGCAGACTGAGAGATGCGTAAAAACTTTGCAAATGGTTTCTGTGTGTGATCCCTTCAACTCCTCCCTCTGATCCCTCACTCTCAGCAGACAGACAGAAAACTGTGATTTACGAAATGTTTAATAGTAAAATATTTGTTTTAGAGCGTATGATGAAAAAAGGAGTTTGGATCTTATAAGAGAATCCTTCAAACGAGGCGTTAATTATTTAGAGACTGGGCCTTGGTACGGTCAAGGCATTTCCGAGAGGACAATAGGAAAGGTAAAATTTATTATGTTCCGAAATTACCAGTGGCGGATTATCCTTAAGCCGAACTAGGCACATGCTTAAGGGCGCAAGGTTACAAAGGGGCGCGCGCGAAAATGTTTAAACGAAAATAAATTAAGTAAGTATACCTAGTTGCATAACCTAATTAAGTTGCATGCCTAATTGCTTAGTTCAACAGTGGTAGAGCCACGCGGCAGCCTTTGCTGTTGCACGCATGGGCCGGCTCAAACCGGGGTGGTACCACGACTTCACAACCAGCGTGAAGTAGAGGCTTTGCTTCTGCGTTTCGTCTGGTGAGTGCAGGTGGCTGGAGGACAATCCCGCCGGGGGGGGGGAGGCCCCAACAACAGTGGTGGAATTAAATGCAAGTTTACCCCAGGAGGGTATCAGCACCCCTGGATAATCCCTCGCTGAGCATCCAAGACCAAGCTACTCCACTCCTGAGCGTCGGTCCTCAGGCTCAGCTTTAGGAGAAATAAGTCAAAGGCGACCCCGGGTACAAATTAGAACACTCCTTTGTGCCCCTGGCTGGAGTTTTCGTGTACGTCAGGGTGGACTTCTGTTTTCGACGCCTTTGCAGCCTTGACGGACGGACCTGTCCATCTCATGGTTGCGCGTAGACAGCGACGACCATCCCCGCGTCTACAGGAGACTCTATAGGTCTCATATCGGTAATGCTGAAACAGACCGACTCATCGACCACGTCCAGATGGCTACAGACTCCGTGCTACAACAGATCCCATCCGCAGAGATCGTGATACTTGGTGATTTTAACGCCCACCACGCTGAATGGCTTGGTTCTCGTTTAACCGATCATGCGGGTAGATCTATTAATGACTGCTTTGGCATATGGTCTGACATAACTGGTTACCTCGCCTACGCGGATCCCTGATGTGGAAGAACATGTACCTTCCCTTTTGGACCTTCTGCTGACTCCTCATCCGGTCGGATATCCCTATCCTATCGATGCCCCTCTTGGCTCCTCGGACCATTGTCTGATCCGGAGTACGGTGCCACTCACGCTCTTATCACGGTTGCGTACTGCAGGTTGCCGCCGTGTTTGGCATTATAGGTCAACAGATTGGGACGGATTGCGATCTTTTTTTGCATCCTACCCTTGGAGGCGGGTTTGTTTCTCGCCGGATGATCACAACGTTGTTGCTGATCCTGTCGCTAATGTGGTGCTACAGGCAATGCACAATGGAACTTTTTATTCCATCATTTGTGGTATCCATCGGAGGCAGACCCAGCCTTGGTTTGGGCTCGCGCATCGACGTCTCGAAATGCAAATACCAGCGCTCTTAAAAAGAAGTACAATTCTGCCTCCAGGTCCTTCAAAAGTGTCATTGTCAAGACAAAGTTAGAGCACATCGACAGAATTGGCGAGAAACTAGTTTGTTTTCCTTCGGGAATACGTGCATTCTGGTCTCTCGCCAAGCCTATCCAAGGGAACTTCTGTCAGCCATCTCTGTACAGGGAGGACGACTCACTGGCCCACGCCACAAAGGACAAAGCCGATCTACTGGGCTCCCTCTTTGCGTCCAACTCAACTCTTAATGACGGGGGGAACGCACCGCCGACCATCGCGCAACCGCGAAGTGAGTGCTCCATGCAGGAGGATGTCCTGTTTACCCAACGCTCAGTGCGCAGAGCAGAGCACTCTTCTCCCTGGACGTCAACAAGTCGAGTGGGCCGGATGGCATACATAATATACACTCACGCCTGTTACCCAGAGGGGTAGGCAGAGATTACAGACTTCCATTTAGCACGATCCTGTCATACCTCTCTCGCCTCTTCCACATCCATATACCTACGCATACATGCTCGTCGGTTAAGGGTACTCTTAATTTGGACTATTTTTAGTATATCGCCAATTTGGTCGACAAACATTCGCCTAGGACGTCCCTTTCCGATTCTTCCATTCACTTCTGCAGCATATATTTGCTTGTCAGTCTTTCCTCATTCATTCTTTCTACATGACCAAACCACCGAAGCATTCCTTTCTTAATCCTGGTCACCGCATCATCTTGCAAACCACACTCTCCTTTATCACACAGTTTCTCACCCTGTCACTTTTAAAATAAATAAAAGGGTTGAGTCGAAATTAAAGAGCTATTATTAAATCACTATATTAGTTACTATATACAACTGATTGTGCGGCAGTTAAAACTAAAACCTAATAGGGATCTTGAGGGCTTCTTTCTTGCTTGCTTGTTCCGTTGTAGCCGCTTGATTCCGCACGAATGCCGAAACCTCGCCAGTGGCGCTTTTTTTATTCCGGCGGTCAGTGTGACGTAGGCACCGAGTTGGTGCGTGCGTTTGACCTTGCGGGGCCCTTGTTCTGATGCAGGGTGCGGGGGACGTGTCGACGTGGGCACGGTGCGGGGCGACGGATGATCATCTCCTCGCCGTCCGTAGGTAACATCCGTGCCAATATTTCTCGGGAAAACGTCGCAGAGTACCGGGACAAACTTGTGCCCGAAGTCGAAACTTTGTTGAGTTTTATCCCCAGAAGACACAAGTCTGCGCGTTTACCGCCATAAAAACGACAAAAAAATGTGTAAGAGCTATTTCAGGAGCAGGAACAAGTGATTCTTGCCGACCATTATTTAAAGAATTTAAATTGTTGACGTTAACAGGCCTCTACATCTTAGAAGTAAGACTTTTTGTTAGAAATCATCCACAATTGTTTCAGAAATATTGTACGTGGTAGAGCCATGCTGCAGTTATATTAGTAGTATAGCTGTAGCACGAATGGGTCGGCTCGACCGGGGAAGGACCACGCTCTCACAGAATACCAGCGTGAAATAGTAGCTTAATGCTGCTGTATTTCGTATGGTGAGTGTAGAGAACCGGAGACCCTTTTTACTGGAAACGAGGCATTCCATCTTAGTCCTCACTGGTGACAACGCATCTGCATTTTGATTTGTAATCGAGGATAGATGTAGATGTCTATGGGCCACAGCAACCACTTACCATCAGGTGGACTGTGTGCTCGTTTGTCACCCTAGCCTATAAAAAAAAAAAAAAAAAAAAAAAAGAAATTCGAAATGGTCATTCCACGACTACGCCCTAGAACCACTAACCGCCTTTTGGCTCCATCATGTAATTGATGAATTGATGACTATTAAAATTTATAACAAAATAGCATTCTGATATCAGGGAGTTATCTTCCCCTCTCTTATAAAGGCGCTAAAATCATGGTTGATTGATAAATGTTTATATAATGTAGCAGAATATTTTGAGATAACATAATACCTATGTACATAATTAATTATAAATTCGTCAAATTTATTACCAAATAAGTCAATGGTATTGATATTTTATTTCTAAAAACAAATAGTAACTCATATTGATTATTTATTTATTAAAATGTAAAATAATGTATAAAGTTAAATGGTAATATTTGCATAATAGCCTGAGATGTGTAAATTATAATTTTACTATATAAAATTATTAATTAATTTATACTGTAGGTAGTGTAATTATTAAAATAATAAAAGCGTAAGTAATCTCATATAATATTTAATATTATTTATGTAACAATTTTGTTTATTTATGTAAAAATTTATTGTATAAGAATTCAAATAGAGTGGATCTGTATAAGTATTTAATTGTACATAATATTTGAATTCAAAAAGAATGTTTGTACATAACTTTTAAGCAATGAAATAATTTTAAAATGTAACATTGGGTTAGTGTAATTAGCTGTATTTCACATAATTTTTGCATGCCAATTATGGCCAAACGTGACAGTTCCACGTCATCGACCATCTTATGTACCATGTTTTTAAGCAAATAAATTTTCTATTCTTCTATCTAACTGCTACTAAACTTAATATTTTAATTAGGCTATATTACTTAGGCTTTCAGCTCATAATATAGTCTGTTTAACCGAAGTTGAGTTCACGTTGTTTATAGTTTATTTTAATTTTGGTTTCCACTCTTAATCTTGTTTCGGTCCTTTTAGTGCATTACTTTTAAATTGTCTTTCTTGCAGTCGGGTTTTTTATTTTTTTATTTTTTTTATTTAACTTTGTCAGCACTAGCTGTGAAGCGGAGGGTTGTTTTTCCAGGATGTCGTAGAAAATGTTGAAGAAGCGACTAATAATTTATACAGTTCTATCCATAAACTGTGATTTAACATAGGACCGACAATGTGATAAAATAAAGCAATTTGGAACGCAAAAATCTAGTGCAAGAATCTAGAACTATACATAACCTATTAATTTCTTATGCAATAATGTCTTACAGTTGCTGTTTGTGTATCTAAGTTATATAATTTTATTCCAAGCCGTATACTAGAAAATGGTATAACAGAAAAAAGTTTTTTTGACTTAATTAGTTTGATTAAATTAGTAGGGTTCCAAGTAGTCTTAGCCCAGGGAGCCACAAATTCACGGTGCTCCCTGTGCCTACTGCCTACCAGAAGTAAGCTTGTGTGTACATACATATATGTACTATTGGTCATAGCGCTTACCATCAGGTATACTGTGTACGCTCATATGTCACTTTTAAACTGTAAAACAAATTTTGGCCTCAGCATCTTTTATTTAGCTCCCTAAGTTTCGAAGTGAAATCTTCTTTAGAATAATTATGACTTGAAACCCGATAAAAAAGCGACACTAAGAGATACACATATACATCTATATGATTTAGCCTGCGGGAGAATGAAGTAGAATACAGTACATATACAGTGTTTCCTATCAACTCAGTCTCTTTTTTTTAAGGTTTTACTTTATCGCGTGTAAACTGCGCACATGATTTTTAATAGCCCAATATTTTCTTAAAAAAGCAAGTTATTGTTTTATTTAAGAAAATAGAGTTATTACCAGCATGATTTTGCTATAGATTTATCATGTGTTTTCAGTAATCATTTATAACATTTATTTATTTCGAAGGCACTACAAGGTATCCCAAGAGAATCATATTTCATTGGAAGCAAAGTTGGACGTTACGAAAAAGCTACTGAGAAAATGTTCGATTTTTCAGCGGAGAAGACAGAAGCCGGTGTGGACAATACCCTAAGTCTTCTTGGTTTGGATTACGTCGATCTCATTCAGGTCTGACGTCAAAATGCATGGCTTATTTCAACTTATTTTGTCACGCTTCGCCTTCAGGCTTATCGTACTAATAGAGAATAGTTTCAATAATTTTATTGTTCGCACGGATAACGTTTTGCACTATGACTATATACCATAATATTATTTTGTGTCAATTTTAGTTTTAATTAAAAAATTTAAGTTTTATAATGTATTTTGTAATGAATGTACCTCTAGTAATGATCACTATAGATACTATTTTTGAAGTGAAAACTTCTTTAGAATCGCTGTGATTGCAATTCGATGAAAGGAAAAAGCGACACTAAAAAGAGAAAAAACATCGATAGGATTTAGCCTGCGAGAGAAAGAGAATGAGTTAGAACACAGTGTAGTAAGCAACAGTAGCCTTATGGCCATCAACCACTCCTAACACAAGGATTTTCAGCTTGCCAGTACTGGTTAAAGGGAATATTAGTATTTTTTAAAAAAAAATACAATGTTTCACTCACCTAATTTTGAGGTGCTTTAAAGACGGTTAATATAAATTGACTTAACTTTTAATATAATCAATATATAAAATTAACAAATTTATTAAATAAATAAAATTAAGCATATTGAATAAAATTATCATATCCAATCCATTTAGCGTCTATTTTACGTGCCACTTTGGGAGGTACTCAATTTTTGTTCGATAAAATGACTTTACCTATAGAATGAAATAGATGGAGCTATTACAAAGCAATTTTGTTTGAAAGAAAACATTCTTTTGATTTATTACACTAAAGTTTAGTCTAAAAATAAGGATTGTAACATTTATGTGCTATAAAATTAAACCTTTGTCTTATATTTTATGCACTTGTGTTACATCTACCGTGTGTGAACTGCACACATGTTTTTCTTAAATAATAAGTACCTATAAATCTAGAAAAATACCGTAGCGAGAAGAAACACGTAATGAGCATCAATCTATGAAAAAAATATTTCTACCACATACCACGAATATCTTTTTATTGATCTAATTGACATTGAGCCAGTACTTCTATGTGTGTCGTAATTAGAGTTACACAACTACACATTGGGTCAAGTCTATTAAAAATAATTCTTCTACAAAAAATCGTGGAATATTGTTTTACACAAATATAACACATATAACCATCTTCTCGATCAACTTAATTTATTTAAACAAAATTGTAATCCTTAGCTTACATTAAACAAAATTTACAGGTTCACGACATTACATTTGCTCCCGAAACGTCGATCATCTTAAAAGAAACACTCCCAGTACTCGATAAAGCTGTTAAAGACGGCAAGGTCCGATATATTGGAATCGCTGATTACGATATTGACTTGATGAAGGAAATCGTCGAAGAGTCTGACGTCAAAATATCTACCATACTCTCATATGCCAAATCGACCCTTTTTGATAATCGCTTGCAAAACTATACGAATTATTTTAAGGTATGCGCTCGTTAACGTTATAGGTATTAGAGTTAAAAAATATAAAATTATGATTATATTTTACTGTATAATATACAGTAAAATATAATTCATTAAGCTTTATTTAAATTATAGTAAAAAATTTAATCATATATTTATTTTTCTTTTTTGGATCTATGTGACTGATGAAATCAGGAGATACATTACTAATGCGAAGGTCTCGGGTTGTACACTTACCAATCCGTCGCGTCCATAGTGATAATCGACAACTATTTTCAAAATTATATATATTATAGATTGTGCATTTTTGAAAAGGATTTTTACTGCAATGGATTTTAAAAAGGCAAACGATGGCACGTTAGCTTTTCTTAAATTCACTTCACATCCACAATAGCTTAGTTTTTAAAAACCATTTTTAATTATTGACATCCAACCAGAAAACGTAGCCAGCGTTCTTGGTACTTAGTATACTGCGGGGAGTAGGACTGTAGCTGTATGAGACTAAGATATTATAAGCTTTTGTTTTAGTGTTTTCATTTAGTTAATAATCGTATATATAATGTATGTATGTTATATTATTAATATATTATGCAAATAAATGATTACAAAATCATTTTTATACTTTCCTGGTGAGGACCAAATTAATATATAAATTTTGTATTAATTTTAAAAGGTAATTTTATTTCTTTAAACGATAGTGTTTACAAGATTTATGACGTTGTCTAAAATAAATAATCGTCACTCAAAATATTATCATTTACGTGGTAATAATGTTTCACAGAGTAAAGGAGTCGGCGTGATTAATGCAGCAGCTACAGGCATGGGCTTATTGTCCAATAAAGGTCCCCTGCCTTGGCATCCAGCTAGCGACGACATTAAGGCAATCTGTAGACGGGCGTCTGCGTACTGCAAAGTAATTATTTTGCCGTTCATATGTTCCTTATCTAAAAATTTACATTGTCTGACTAACCATAAATTTTAACCTCTTTTTTCCTTATTTAAAAATTTTATTAACCATAAATTTTAACCTCTTTTGAAGATAAATTAATTATATCATTGTACTTGAACGAAGTCGTGAAGATCATGTTTATTAGGTACGTTTTGTGGCTTTCTCTTAAAACTCATGTGAGTGCCGAATATGTAAAGGCAATATTTTACAACAAACAAACAAAGGCGAGATGCCTTGTCCGAAAAACCGTGAAATTGTTATCCGCATGGCTATAGAAACATTTCCATGTTCATTTACTCTTTATGATTGAGTAAGATACATCCAAGCATCTTACAAACTTTCACATATATATTATAATGTAATATTTTTTTTTTATAGAAGAGGGGGCAAACGAGCATGCGACTCACCTGATGTTAAGTGACTACCGCCGCCCATGATCATCCGCAACACCAGGGGAATTGCAGGTGCGTTGCCGGCCCTTTAGAAAGGAATAAGCTCTTTTCTTGAAGGTCCCCAGGTCGTATCGGTCCGGAAAAATCGCCGGTGGTAAACTATTCCACAGAGAGGTTGTACGCGGAAGAAAACTCCTTTTGAAACGTACAGTGGTGGACCGCCAAGCATCCAGATGGTGTGGATGGTATCGGGACGTTTGCCGCGTAGTGCGTTCATGAAATTTGGCGGCTGGGATTAATCCGAACAATTCCTCAGAGCACTCCCCATGGTATATGCGAAAGAGAATGCAAAGAGATGCAACATCTCTTCGCAGCGCCAGTGAATCGAGCCGATCGGAAAGCACTCGGTCGTCGTCGACTCGAACCGCTCTGCGCTGGATGCGGTCGAGTGAAAGGAGCTGGTACTGGGGAGCCCCAGCCCAGAGATGGGAACAGTATTCCATGTGCGGCCGAACCTGCGCCTTGTAAAGTTGCAGACGGTGTGCCGGCGTGAAGTACTGTCCCGCTCTGCTGAGCACGCCAAGCTTTTTAGAGGCCAATTTGGCCTTCTCTTCCAAGTGACCACGAAACTGCACGTCATTCGATATATCGACGCCGAAGATTCCGATACTGGCTGAGGCAACAAGGGGAGTGCCTTGAAACTGAAAAGATATGACAAAGGGGTACTTTTTAACGGTTAACGCGCAAACTTGTGTCTTCTGAGGGATAAACTGGACTAGATTTAGTGGCCCCCTAATCCGAGACTCTGTTCAGTAAAGACTCGACTTCAGACACAAGTTTGTCCCGGTACTCGGAGACGTTTCCCCGAGAAATATGGGCACGGCCGATGTAAAGAGCATCACCAGTGCTGTCATGTTGTCACGACCTTGATGCTCCGATCTGCAAGAAAGCTGGTGATCCAATCGCACAATTTCTCGGGAAGCCCATAGCCTTCGCTATGTCCAAACTAACGGCCAATGCCTCCCCCTTGGACTCTACTGCCTGCGCCCATCTATGAGTTAGGTAGACCAGAAGATCACTAGCTGATCGACCACGGCGAAAACCGTATTGGCGATCACTAATCAGCTGGTGATCCTCAAGGTACCTCATGAGCTGGCAGTTTACAATGGACTCCATTGTTTTGTAGAACAAGGAGGTGATGTCGATAGGCCGGTAGTTGGACGAGTCTGAGCGGTCACCTTTTTTAGGGATCGGGTGGACGAAAGCCGTCTTCCATGATTTTGGGACTACGCCTATGGAGTAGTAGTATCGGAAAAGACGCGTTAAAACCGGTGTCAACTTTGAAGCACACGTCCTCAGCACAATTGGGGGGATTCCGTCAGGCCCACTGGACTTGTGGATGTCCAGGGAGCGGAGTGCTTTGCGAACCGAGCGCTGTGTGAAATGCACTTCCGGCATGGAGCACTCACACCGCGGGATGGTCGGCGGCGTAAATATTAGTGGATGTGCCTTCTTGAGAAATGTGATAAAGGTCATGATGGAAAAAATATTGTATTTTAGTCACGATTTTCACGCCCGAAAATTGATATTTCTTGAAATAATATGTCCCAGAAAAATATGATAATGCATGTCGAATGGATTTTTAGAATACTTTATACACTTTGACGTTAGAGTTTCCTTACAGTATTTCTCGAATATGAAAGGTATGCTATTGAATTTTGATTCTTAATCAGCTACATTTTTATTTAGATCTTTTCTTTTTGTTAATAAGCAAAAACGTTTAAAAAAATTGATAACTTTGTTAAAAGAATGTCGCACGCTTTCTTCTTACTGGAGAAATATGCATGCAGCGGGTAAGGAAGCTCTAAAAGCCTTTTAACGTAGGCTAAATAATCAAATGTTTTTAGAATTTCTTAAATTTCAAACCGAAAAGCGAATATTTTTTAAAATCGATACAATTTTTTTACAGAGACAAAACGTGGAATTGGCTCGTCTCGCTTCCTGGTTTACACTAAACCAACCCGGCATCGACACAAACGTTTGCGGCTTCTTCAACGCGGAACAGATGAACGACACCCTTGATATGCTTGAAACCGGGCTCAGTGAACACGAAAAATCGGTGCTTGCTGAGGTTCAAAAGCGGTATGAAATAATTGCATGTTTCAGGACGATAAATTAACTAAAAGACTCGTAATTATGATAACAAAACTAGTAAAACGACCTTGGCTCTGCTTTGCTGTAGTATTTTCATGTCTTTTTCGACATTGCAGATTGACGTAAGTAAAAGATAAAAGTTACGATTACATATACTCTTTGGATGTATTTAACAAGTATTTAATAGGTGTCAAAGCTTTTTTGAATGTATAAAGTATACCATTCACGTTGCGATAGTCATACCTACCATCTCACCAACTTCTGTCGTATGCAACAGGTTGGTTCGTTAATTGATTGGTCGTAGTGTACGACCAAGGTCATGTCAAATGATGTGATGAACCTCACGACACGATCGTATGAATCGTAGTGAGTGTTAATGTTTGCAACGGCCCGAATGACTAAGCAGTCAGTCCATTAAAGTCAAGGAAAGGAAGTATATAGTGTAGTAAATAATAAAAGAAGTCACGGAAAGAAAGTATATAGTGTAGGAAATAATAAAAAATATAAAAAAAATATGGCGAACTTTATATCGCTTTATGGAAAACCGAATCTATTTCACAGAATCGACAACTCAGAATTTCTTTTCAGAAATGTAGCTTTTATTTCCCCCAGGCAAAAAATAAAAAAAATGTGACTATAATTATTAAAATTTAAGAACTTTGGTTATAAATGTATTATTACCTAGTTAAAAAATTGCTATTTTTGTAATTATATATTTTTTATTTGCCTTGTGAAATGTGGAATACTATTTAGTATTTTTGAGTAAAAATTTCTGAAGAGAAATTCTAACTTATCGTAGGTAAAAATACAATGATATAAAACTCAGTCAACAAATTTCTTAATATTTTTATTCCATCTTTATCATTTGACTTACTAACCTTTTCTTCTTTCCTTTCCTTGAATTAATTGACAAAATTTAGAACCGTACACTCACGCTACGATAGATGCGGTCGGGTCACAAGTTTCCATTAGTTTTTATCGAACCGTCGCGTCGCCATGACCCAGATCGTACGGACCACTATACGTACAATCAATTCACGATTGAACCTGTCACATACAACTCAAGTTCGTGGGATAGTCCTTCCTGCCGTCGCAACGTGAATGACTACCTCGAGCTACAGCACAAGTGTTCGAGCGAAATACTAGTGACGTATCATCTGCATAGGAGAAGAATATACCGTTTATGAGATCATATACCGGATGACCTTTTTTACCGTCTGGAAAAAAATAGGGTGTATCATGTGAACGGAGTAGGAGCCTATGGCACTGATATTTTACAAAAAATGAAAACAAAAATTTTGAATTAAATAAAAAAATAAGATAAAGTCTATCGAAATTCATATCGTATTCGTATTTGTATTTGAATATAAGTTATTAATTTTTGCATTTTGATAAGGTCTTAATATCTTAATAAATTTTTCTGCCGTTAAGCATTTAACGATACGCTGGGTATGTAATCGGCATTTCCTTCCGTTATCGTATTATGTTGCACGTTTAATATCAATGTATTAAAAAATGATGTTGTTGATTTTCGAATCATATTTTCATCCTACATACAAAGAAGATACTTACCTTTTTATAGAGGAGGGGGCAAACGAGCATGCGACTCACCTGATGTTAAGTGACTACCGCCGCCCATGATCAACCGCAACACCAGGGGAATTGCAGGTGCGTTGCCGGCCCTTTAGAGAGGAGTAAGCTCTTTTCTTGAAGGTCCCCAGGTCGTATCGGTCCGGAGAAATTGCCGGTGGTAAACTATTCCACAGAGAGGTTGTACGCGGAAAAAAACTCCTTTTGAAACGTACAGTGGTGGACCGCCAAGCATCCAAATGGTGTGGATGGTATCGGGACGTTTGCCGCGTAGTGCGTTCATGAAATTTGGCTGCTGGGATTAATCCGAACAATTCCTTAGAGCACTCCCCATGGTATATGCGAAAGAAAATGCAAAGAGATACAACATCTCCTCGCAGAGCCAGTGAATCGAGCCGATCGGAAAGCAATCGGTCGTCGACGATTCGAGCCGCTCTGCGCTGGATGCGGTCAAGTGGAAGGAGCTGGTACTGGGGCCCCCCAGCCCAGAGATGGGAACAGTATTCCATGTGCGGCCGAACCTGCGCCTTGTAAAGTTGCAGGCGGTGTGCCGGCAAACCTACCTACCTACCTATCTTTAGACATAAATCTGTTCAAAATAAAGGTTTATGCTTATTATTCTTATTTTCAGGTTTTTCGAGAAGGTAACGCTGCACTGGGACGACGTAGAATTACCAGCTTATAAAGACGACCTGGCTAAAATTTTAAAGAAGTAATGGAACCAAAATTAAACACAGAATTTAACAACATACTTATTTTAATACGTGTTTGGTTATATAACAAAATCGAACATTCATGTCATAGAAATAAAACATAATTAATTAGTAAATAGTTAGAGATAAGGTAAATATAGGATTGAAAATAAATGTCGTAAGCTTTAACATCTGTAGAAATAAAGGTAATTGCATAATTTGTATTTTTTATTTATATCCTATATATATATATATATATATATATATATATATATATATATATATATATATATATATATATATATATATACTTCTAATTCTTATCCTAAATATAAAATTTAATTGTTTTATTTAGGATATAAACTAAACGCATAATTAATAATGTTTTTAAAGGTTAGTAGTTAATGTACTGTACTGTAATATATCCATGCTATTGTGTTTCATATGGCGACTGTAAAGAATCGGAGAATCTTTTTACTGGATAGAAGGCATTCCATCTTAAACCTCGATGGTGACAAGGCATCAGCATTTTGAAATATAATTAAAAATAAATGTAGATGTCAATCTAACATTACTCAACCTTATTATACAACAAGGGGTAAATTAAAATATTGTACAACCGACTTCAATATAATTAAAATGAGAACATCATCAATCTATTTGAAGTCAATTTAATACGCGTTATTAAAGATAACTCAAAAACTACCGGTCAGATCATGATGAAATTTATATAAGGTCACACAAGAAGCACCAGCGTCATGTACTGTCAAATTGAATACCTCCTCCTTTTTGAAGTCGGTAAAAAAATGAGGCAACCCATCTACAGAAACAGAAACAGAAACTTTTTTATTCAATATAGATTATAAACAATACTTATTGAAAGACAATTTTTTCATTTACCACTGGTTCGAAAAAAACCCTCTGTTCTGGGAAGAACAATAACAAATAATAGCTTACAATCATGTTTACAATTAACAACACAAGACAAATTAGAAATAGCTTAGTAGCGCTCACCCTTCCCAGGGGTTTTATTAAAATATATTATAAAATACATCATCATCATCATCATCATTACAGCTTTTCACAAGCCCACTGCTGAACATAGGCTTCCCCTAAGGTACGCCACAAAGCACGGTCCTTCCACCTGCATCCAGCGACTTCCTGCACGTCTTACCAGGTCGTCACTCCATCTAGTAGGGGGTCGCCCTGCACTTCGCCCACCGGTACGAGGCTGCCACTCGAGAACCTTTTTTCCGCAACGGTAGTCGGTTCTTCGAGCTATAAAAAAATATTATATATGGCCAGCCCATTGCCACTTCAGATTACTAATCCGTTGGGCTACGTCGGTCACTCTGGTTCTACTGCGGATATCCTCATTTCTAAGTTTATCATGCAGTGAAACCTCAAGCATAGCCCTCTCCATGGCTCGCTGAGCGACTTTAAGCGTCCTCATACTGCCAGCAGTGAAGGACTACGTCTCGGTTTTATAGGTTATCACTGGCAACACGCACTGGTTGTACAATTTAGTTTTCAGGTTTTGAGGTATACCTTACGAAAAGATGTGTCATAAAATACATATTTATTTAAAATATGAAAATAATTTTCATCTGGTACGTTGATTGGTGAAGACCTATCTTAGTATGGTTCTTAGAAAAATGGGTACTGTGGATATCCTTTTGAAATAAAAATAGGCCATATGAAAACATTACAAGAGTTTTTTCTTTACTATTTATTCTGTATACTTTTTCCACTCTCAAGTAATAAGATTATCGTGAATTTTAAATGAATTAATTGATGGTGACGGCTGGTGGCAGCTTGAGCTAGTAGAAAATCGATGATATTATCTCAAGACGTTTAAGCAGACACAATATTCTTGATGTTCATCTTGCTCAACACCCACAACACTTGGCTTGGCCAAGCAGCAGCTTGTCTAGGTCAACAAGCAACGTTTCGGCGAGTTAGTCAGCAGCAGCAGCATCATCAGTAATCAGCAGCGTAAATGTAAGATCTTTCCTTTTTTAACCGTTCCGCATTTAATGGCAACATGCAAAACGTACACGCTAATCAGGTCGAGATTGTAGGAGCTATTCGTAAAATTGGTGTCAATATTATAAAAGATGGGTCAGAGCGTAAAACAATAAATTATTTTAAATGATAACTTGAGGTTTTAGAATCGTACTAGCAAGATTACTATAACTCGGTAAAAGAAATCATGAAGCTAGCCAGCATGTGAAGGTAAAACAACTCAACAAGTGGAACAGCGTGGATTAGGTGAGTCATCTTCGGGAAAATCGGCGTAGCCGGCGTACCTGAGGCTCTCCGCCACGAGTACATCGCGGAGCAACCAGTTAGTTAGATGATATGTTGCACCAAAAAAAAAAATATATATATATATATATATATATATATATATATATATATATATATATATATATAGTCTGTTGCATAAATATAAATAACATTACGGAAAAATGGGAATTCGAAGATTCTTTAAAAACATTATAGTTGCGATGGTCGGCTATAGATTCCTTGCATTGGGAAATTGATCAATAAGTTTATGGATTTGAAGAGAAATCTCAATTCCAAAATGTGGTCCGTCAATCACTGAGAAAACTGTACGCTTAGAATGGATATCCCTACGTTTAACGGCAATTATAAACAATGGATACCATACATAGATATTTTTACGGAAACCGTTCACAACAACCCGTCGCATTCAAACGTTAAAAAAATTCAATTTTTAAAGAGTAAACTCCAAGGGGATCCAAAGCGTTTAATACAGCATTTGAATAATTATTATATTACATCGTTTAGAAAATTATGTAACCTGTTGGGAAATTCTAAATCACAGGTATGAAAACAAGCGACGAATTTTCGTATCTCGCTTTAGCCTATTACTTTGTTTCCCTAATATTCAGCAGCAAGCGGTAAATCAATTTGATTTACCGCTTGCTGCTGAATATTAAAAAATTACATGATACCTCTTTAGTATGCCTGAACGCTATCAAAAACGTAGGTGGAGATATTAGCAATGGGATCCGCTGCTAGTACACATACTGTCACAATCAAATCACATACTGTCAAATTAGATATGAAAACATATGCAGGATATGTAGACTCGCAAAAGAGGCCCAGAGAATCTACCTGTGCTTCAGGAGTTTTTGGACTATTTAGAAAGCAAATTTACAGCACTTGAATTATGTCGACGAAAGCAGAGTAATACCTACATGAAAATTAAACGGTCAGTCTCAACATAAATTCAATTCATCATCGATTAATAATTACAAAAAGCAATTCAATTTTAATCGAAATGCAACGAACAAACTGATTGCTAAATCACATAACCTTACTGGAATCAAATGTTCACTTTGTAATAATGATCGTGGCATTTACAATTGCAAAACATTTTTAGCAATGTCAAATGGAATTAAATTGAAAACCACCAACAAATTGAAACTTTGCCTAAATTGTTTTAAATCCATGTATTTCAACATAAAGGTGCCGCAAATGCTTGGAGAAATGTTGTTACATGATGCGTGTACTTAAGTCCATATCTAATGTACCTACAGATTGCGAAAAAACCTAACGAGTCCGTGACAAACACTTTGCACATGTCACAAAATAATTTAAATGGAGAAATATTACTATCGACAGCTTTGGTGAAAGTTATGGCGTTAGATATAACCTATAAAGTCAAAAGAGCTTTGATAGATCAAGGAACCCAAATTTCGCTCATATCTGAAAATGTCGCACAAACCTTAGGTCTAAAAGGACAGCATCGCGAAGGATTTATATATGACGTCGGGGAAAAGGAAAACATTTGCAAGGGTATATTAAATGACGTGTACATCCATGTTTAATGACTATTTGTTCAACACTAATGTTTATAAAATGGACAACCCAATTAAACATTTGCCAAACCAATCGTTCGCAAAGCCCTTATGGTAATTTATAGAAAACATAAACTTGGCTGATCGTGAGTTTTATAACAGTCGTCCCGTGGACTTACTCTTCGGTGCTGATATTTTTATAGTATGATCATGTTAGGTGGCATTTCAAAGGGCGATCCATCACAGCCTATCGCACAACCAACACAGCTAGGGTGGTTGCTGTGTGGTGGTGCTAAAACATTTCAATGTAATGTTATCACAAACGACATTGAAAACATTCAGAATTTTTGGGAAATACAACAAATAACGGAACATTCAGAGCTATCCTTATAATAACAACATTGTATACAACACTTCGACTACGAAACGTCATGAAAATGGTAGTTATGAGGTCCGTTTACCATTAAGGGGAAATATAATATCAAATGGCTTAGCAAGATCCTTCACACGATTTCGTAAAATTTTCTCGATAGAAAAAAAATCCAAAGTTACCTCCAAAATAAACAATAAACCGCTGTCATTCATAAAATACTTTAAATAAGATCATGAAACTTTGCATACTAACTGAACTAACTATAAAGCAGTGCTTATGTTATTTACTTTTTTAAAATACCATTATTTTCACTGTAAAAAGAAATTACCTAAACTATCGGCGTCTTGAGCTTGATTCCTGTCGCGCCGTTAGTATCGCTTAGGCTTTTGAAGGGAGAAGTTGTGTCGCTTACGATCAGAATATACATTACGCAACAGTACGACGTAAAATTAAAATGGGAAATAACCGTGATAAAAATAAGAAGCGGCTGGCTTGGCCTTAAGAAACAGGCATAAATATGATAAACCTAATGAAATAATTGTCTAACGACCTTTCTACTTACAGTATTAGTGATTACAAACATATCGGTACATAGCATACGACGCGCGGGGAAGTGGGGGCGAAATTAGAATTTGAGCTGACTTACTCTATCCTCTTAAGACCAGAAATTAAAGCAAAATTGGGATCAACGAAATCAATGGTAATTGCACAATTTCGGAATTTAGAAAGAAAACTTGGAAAACATGATAATTTCGCGGAAAATGTAAAGCCTTTATTAAAGAATATGCACAATTTAATCATATGAAACAATCGGACGGTCC